TTTATTTTTTTCTCATCTGACCTCTTTTGTTTCAAATTATAAGTCAACAAATAAGTCCTACAAGTTAAAATTATTGACGGTAAAACTTCAGCACACAAAAAGTCCAAGTTGGACTTGTCAACCTATCAAAAATATCTAAATTGATGCTGACATATGAATGCATGATGGAGATTAACGATGCACGTATTGCACATGACTTTTCAACATTAAATTTTATCTTATTTTCTTAAATTTAAAAATATAGAAAGTAAAAATTCATATATTATAATATGAGAAATAAAATGCTTTAAACTCAAAAAGTTGAAAGGCAATAAGGGGGGTTTTTGCCTAATAATTGTCATTTGGCAACCTTACAAAAAATTAATATTTTATTATTATAAAATATAAATTAAAATAAATTGTATAATATAAATCATAAAATATAACATAATAAATGTGCATATATAAAATAGATAATCATTTAGTAGTTATATAAATTAAGTACTTTTGTACCTATATTAATAAAATTATTATTTAAAAAAATATAAAAGACAAATAAATTCTTAATATTAAAATTTTTTTCTCATTTAATAATTTTACTTTTATAACCAAAACTACAAAATAACTAACTCTTCGTTACAGTGGAAACTTTTCATTCCCTATCTCTCCAAAGTCAAAATCAATAGAATTTAGCTTTGGATATAAATTCAAAATCATACAGCCATAAAAATTCTTCCTTTTTCTTTGCTAAAATAACATTAAAGATCTGTTGAATTGAAACTTCTCACAAAAAAAAAAGAAAAAGAAAAAGAAAAATTGGTGAAGCCGATCAAAAATCAACTTGACTCGGCATCGCATGATTTTGAATAAACTTTTGAAGTAATTAAGGTCACTTTTCTGCTAAAAATTCCCAATAGAAATATTTTTTTTTTAAGTTTTAGTATAACTATTTATATTTTTATTATAATTAATTATATTTTATTTGAATTTTTGTATTAAAAACTATAATTCTTTAAGTCAAGATAAGATGACTTTTAATCAACTTCCTAAAATTCTCTTTCTCAGGAGAAATTTCAACAAATCATTCTTCCTCCTCCATACTTGGTTTAATTTAAAGTATCTGTACACTAAACAGTTCACGGTGCCAAAGAGCAAAAGTAAAAACTGAGCTGCTGCCTCTGCCCGTGTCGGAAGTCCCACCCTCTGCAGATGGCGTCCCAATTTGTCTCTGCAAAAGCACTGCATTCAGCAAAATTGAATTTCCATTTGATGTTCCAGCCAGACCAATCCATCTGAAGGTCCTACTCAGTAACAGTCACATGCTATAACAGAGGGCAATCAATTGATGACCATAAATTGCATTGGAGAAGAAAACTT